AAATAGTTGTTTGGCTCCTTTTTAAACCATAATGATAACAGAAATCACCCAAATGGTCATGATCAAAAGTTTACATACCCTGGAATGTTTGGCCTTGGTACAGACACACAAGGTGACACACATGGGTTAAAATGCCAATAAGAGGTTAATGTTCCACATCTGTGGCTTTTTAAATTGCAGTTAGTGTCAGTGTATAAATAGTCAATGAGTTTGTTAGCTCTTACGTGGAAGTACTGACTAGGCTAGATACTGAGCCATGGGGATCAGAAAAGAACTGTTAAAAGTCCTGCGTAACAAGGTACTGGAACTTTATAAAGATGGAACAGGACATAAAAAGATGTCCAAAGCCTTGAATATGCCAATCAGTACTGTTAAATCACCTATTAAGAAGTGGAAAGTTCGGGGATCTCTTGATACCAAGCCAAGGTCAGGTAGACCAAGAAAGATTGCAGCCACAAATGACAGAAGAATTGTCCGGGATTCAAAGAAAAACCCACAGGCAACCTCAAAAGAAATACAGGCTGCTCTGGAAAAAAAGATGGTGTGGTTGTTTTTAAGGAGTACAATATAGTTATACTTGCACAAAAGTGAGCTGTTTGGTTGAGGTGCTAAAAAGAAGCTTTTACTACACCAATGACACAAAAAAAACCCGGTTACAATATGCCTGACAACACCTTGACATGCCTAAAGGGGCCTTATTGTGTCATTGATTCAGTAAAGGCTTCTTTCTGGCACCTCGACCATGCAGCTCATTTTTGTTCAAGTGTCATCATATTGTGCTCCTTCAAAACAACCACACTGTCTTTTTCCAGAACAGCCTGTATTTTTCTTGTGGTTACCTATGGGTTTCTATTTGTATCCCGAACAATTCTTCCAGCAGTTGTGGCTGCAATCTTTCTTGGTCTACCTGCACTTGGCTTGGTATCAAGAGGTCCCTGAATTTTCTACTTCTTAGTGGAAGTGATGACTGGCATATTCAAGGCTTTGGACATCTTTTTATATCCTTTTCCATCTTTATAAAGTTCCATTACCTTATTACGCAGGACTTTTGACAGTTCTTTTCTGATCCCCATGGCTCAATATCTAGCCTAGTCAGTGCTTCCACGTAAGAGCTAACAAACTCATTGACTATTTATACACTGACACTAATCGCAATTCAAAAAGCCACAGATGTGGGATATTAACCTCTAATTGGCATTTTAACCCATGTGTGTCACCTTGTGTGTCTGTACCAAGGCCAAACATTCCAGGGTATGTAAACTTTTGATCATGGCCATTTGGGTGATTTCTGTTATTATGATTTAAAAAGGAGCCAAACAACTATTTGATAATAAATGGCTTCATATGATCATCATCCTTCAATAAAAGAGCATTTTTTTAGCATGATCAGTCATATTTTCAATATCAATGCCAAAATTTCACAATTTCTGCCAAGGTGTGTAAACTTTTGAGCACAACTGTACCTAGTATAAATTTAGCGGGAAGATTGTAACATTTGCTATGTTTGCATCTGTTCATAATGCTTTTAGTGTATTTTTTGTGAAAATATGGTTTGATAAACAAAATATTGTGGGACCTTAAAAATCGGTACCACCTTTTTGTTCTACTGGTCATGTGCTTTCAGAAAATATATGGTTTGGGGAGTCATTTAGAAACTCTGAAAGCTGTAAGGGAAAAATGAAAACCTCCTGATTTTTAGAGAAATTTAGTTATTTACAGCTTTGCGTACGTTTAATTTTCACCATTTCATAAAAAGGTGCAATTAAAAATGTACAAATATTTGTCATATATCAACTCAATACAGGTTAAGCTTTTATATTTAGTTGGAATATATTAGGAATTATGTAACATTTGCTGTGTTTTTATCTACGAATAATGATTTTATATGAAAATATTATTTTGATAAACACTTGTGCAAATATCACGAGGTCTTAAAAATCAGTAACACCTTTTTTTATTCTACTGGTCATGTGCTTTCAGAAAATGTATGGTTTGGGGGGCCTTTTGCAAACTCTGAAATCTGTAAATGAAAAATAAAAACGCATTGGAAAAATCTTTTCTATTTTACCAAACAATTGGATATTATGTTGTGCTTTGTGCATTTAGATTCATTAAAGTGTATTTTTTAAAAAAAAATTGTGTTTGAAAAACCGCTACACAAATATTGTGTGACATAAAAATATGCAACACCCACAATTTTATTCTCTAGGGTCTCTGCCCTGGAATTGGCCAAGACTGGAAGTGGTTAAACATATTCTGATTTTAGCAAAATAATTATTTTTACTAATCATTCCATGCAGCATTTAATAATGCACAGTCTAAAGTCTTTATTTGCATAAGCAGGCAAATAATCCCTTCTTGCACCCAGTACATTTTATAGCTCCCATAACAGGGATGAATGCCAGTGAATATGGACAAGGCCAGGCAGAGGAGGGCACCTGGGTGCTTTTTATAAACATGACCCACCAGCGTTAGTAATAGACCATCTTGGCTATTTATTTTTATTATCATCATCATCATTATTATTATTATTGCATCAATCAACACATCCCATAGGATAGTTATGGTAGAAGAGGTGTTCATTCTTATGCAAGATGGACATTTAATACACCAAAAGCTTACTTCTTGTGTCTTTAAATCTCTCTGGTCACGAGATGAGAGGAATGCTGCTCCTCTGCACGCCATATGTTCAAACAAGATCTGATGCAACAATGTAGGAACTTTACAGCATACATTTTTCAGAGCACTAACCCCATGCATAGAACACTTCATAAGATCAACTTTAAAGAAAGCTCACATTTCAAAAAGCAAACTGATGCAACCTATATAACTGAGATATGAGCAATCTTCTAATTTTATGTACATGTGACATTTACATTTCAATACACATCCAGGCGTGATTTCTTTAATATCACAAAAATAAGGTCTCTCCACCGTACAACCACGATAACAGTGCTGAGACTGTAGATTGCTCAGGATCTTTGCTACCTGTATTGGGCTATCTGCTTCTCCTAGAAGTCAGTCTGCACACAGCATAAGGCTCCATGCACACTGGGTGGTTTAATAACGCTGGTAACGTTAGCAGTGTAAAGTCACATTAAAACGTGTTTCAGTTTTTTTAGCGTTTTTGCATTAGCGTTTAGCGGAATTTTGCCGCATTAGGCTGTTTTCCTGCGTTTTTCCGCATTTGCAGTTTTTAGTGGGTTTTTTCAGGGTCAAAAAAAGTCCAAAAATGCCGGTTTGCGGCGTTTTACTGCATTTTGCCGAGTTTTTGGAGAAAACTCTAGAAACCCACTAATCCTGGGTTTTTTTCCAGCCAAAAAATGTCCCTGCCAAAAAACTTTGATTACAGTCTATGTGTGCATGGACACATAGGATAACATGCTGGGGAGTTTACGGGCTGTAGAAAAAAACTTCAAAAGCCAAAAAACAGCAGCTGTAAAAACGTCCACTGTGCATGAGGACTTAGACCAAATTGTATGTATAAGAAACAACATAGATGTAGCATTTCTTTTTTTTTTTGTAAACACTAGAGCTGATCAAGGGACGACAGGAAAAGCAGACCCTTCCCTGAAAGGCAGAGGATCGGTGCTACCATGGTTTAGAAGTGCTTCACTCAAGTTTGAGATTTTTGTTTGCAGCACACCATTGCTTTGTTTAGAAGTTAAAACGTGCAAGAACAGTGTGCACCTAAATCACCTAACATTATATCATTCAAATTCAACACACTCCTCTACCACCATAGATAAAACAAACGTTAAGCATGTATCAGTTAGACCTATTATTTCTGATTAAACTGTCCTGCTGCTGGCCACTGCTACACTTGCTGTATCCTCTGCAGTATCTTAATTTTTGCAGTAAAACCTCTGCCTGTGATATTTGTCTCCAGTAAATTGGGGCCTGGCTTTGCTATTTACAATAAAATCCTCTGGTCCATTTTACACCTCCATGTCATCGGCAGTCTCTTAATTCTTGTAGTAAAACCTGCCTGTATACTTTGGAGCTGATTTAATAAATATAGTCTGTTCAATTTGCAAGGGAAGCTGTATTTTGCAAGGGAATTTTCACCACAGTTTAGTGAATGCAGTGATATTTCACTTTGCCAAGAATACTTCATCATGTGCAAGGAAAATAAAAAAAACAGCATTTCTTGGACATGATTAGATGATGGAAGCCAGCAGAGCTTCAGTTCATTCAGTAAGCTCTGGAAAAATACTCTTACAAAGTGCAACGTCCCTTGCAAAGTGAACAGTCTATAACCCCTTTGTCTCTAGTATATTTCAGCCAATTCTCCCTCATTAAAAAAAAGTTTGATAGAAACTCCTTTTATTCCTCAAATGGTACACATAAATAGTGTAAAAATATAAAATTTAATCTCCATCAGAAATGTTTACAATTTCAGTCACATTAAACTTATATTTAAAAAAAAGGGGGACAATGTGTGGGGCTCCCCCTAATATTCTAACCAGACCCTTACCCAGGCATGCAGCCTGGCTTGCCAGGACACAGAGAACAGTGAGTGTTTAACTCCCCCTTCCAGTACAATACCAGGCCACATGCCTTTCAACATTACCAGGCCACACTGCTTCTCCACCTCAAAAAACCCTTATCCCAATGTTGAGGAACTTTTTTTTTCCCACCTTCGTACTAATGAGGTGTGGGTATAATGGGGGGATTTATTTTGGAATCTAGAAGCTAAAAGTAAATACACACAGTAAAAAGGTCCTCTAATCAAATAACATACAAACACATACTTACTGGATTTGAAAATAAAGTTTGTTAAAGTCCTCCAAAGTAAAAACCTTGTCAGTCACAGAGTCCAGTGAGGTAAGCCACGTTAAATCCCACTGGATTCCTGGCTGTCAATTTAGATGACCTCAGCTGGTAATCTGTAATTTAAAGTGTTGCTAAACCCACAACAGTAAAATCAGTCTGTACATGCAGTAAAGCATGCTTGTTATACTCACTGTGGAACCTAAGGGGTTAATCCTCTGCATTGCTGTTTGATCCTGACTTCTCTGACCCTCCCCTTCTTCCAGTGTCTCCCTCGTATCTCCTGATAAGACATATCGTGGGGAGTCACTCTGCACATGCTCAATTCAGTGTGTATTGCTAGAGAGGTTTTTTTTTTTCTTGAGAGAGTGCATGTAATCAGCACAGGGCCAATCAGCACTGTCCAGACAATGGTCAGGGGTTATGCATCCTCTTAGAGCAGAAAGAAAACTCCTCCTACAAGCTTTAACCAGTGCTCTGCTGGACACTGATAGAAGTCACAAGACTGCTTTGGCTGCTGATGAGAAAAGGTATTTAGCAGTTTATATTTACTAAAGTAATTGCATTTCCATGTTGTACGTACTGTGGGAGACCAGATATAGTGAATGCAGGGTCCTGGGTTTAGTAACACTTTAACAATAGAAGTGTGTTGTATATAGATCAGTGGCAGGTCATCATGATTATTACATCGCTGGACTCCATGATGGATGTGGATTTATTTAGAGGACATTAATAAACATTATTTATAAAGCCGGTAAGTATGTGTTTGTGTTTTATCTGATTAAAAGGTTTTTCTTGGTGTGTAAAAGTTATTTTTATTTAAAATTATTTGTAAAAGAAATGTGTACTGGTGCTGAGACTGTCCATGAAAATCATACTGTTCCATTAAGGCACTAAACCTTAAGGCATCCACCAAGCAGGTTACTTAAAGGATTTATGTATTTTCCAGGTTGCCCTTAAAGCGAAGTTCCACCCATTTTTTAAAGTGTCTCTATTTACACTGTACCTGTGTTGTAAAGCATGATTTGAATAATCTTTTTTTTTTCGTATTATAAATAGCTTTAATTCAAGTTTCAGGACTGCAGTCCCGGCCGCCTAGGCGATGACGTGTTAAGCCAAATCGCAAAGTCTCCTGGGATGCCGGGTCCTGTATCCCAGGAGTCCTTTGGGTTCCTAGTGACTGACTATCGCGGTACTGCGAAACAGGAAATGATGCGAATGGGAAGAGTTTGGCATCATTTTACAGGAGTCCTGTGTGAGGAAGAAGTGTAAGTTGTGTGCTGCGGACTGCACTGTTCTATGTTAGCTGGATATACAGAGTGTGTGAATAGCAGCACCAACTCCAGGAAGTAAAGACTTACGGGCTTCAGATGCCCACAGCCATCATGGTGCCTGCTTCCGAGATCTAGGTAAAGTTTAACATATTTAAAAGTAATTACAAGGCTATAACTAATAACTAAATCAAATTGTTAATGTTAATGGAAAGGCAATCCTGGGTCTACTTTTAAAAACATTTCTGGGGACTGGAGCTCCGCTCTAAAGCCCCATGAAACAACCCTATCCTCACTATATGATATTTTGTTAAAACTTCTTTTGCATTGGTACATATCCCTATGGTAGTGCCTAGCTTCCCATGCCTTTTTTTCACTAGTTAGCCCAGTAACCCTAAAAAATGGCCAGAACCTACTAACAAGTTTTGACTTTATAGAGCGCAATAGGATTTGCCTCTCAGTTCAGGTTTCAAAAATTTCAAACAGGTTTCACAGAATTGCAAAGGACAGAAACCACTCAAACCAGTCCAATGAAGTTGGTGTCAGTGTTAGCCTCAGCCGTCGCTCCAGCCATGCCTCTGGTGCATTTCACCCCACCCACCAGGGCTTGGTCACAGAGGCCACATACAATTGAATCTGGGCAGATTTACTCATCCCTACTTAGTAGTCAGGTTTAAAGATTCAGGCAAGGACAGTAGTAGTACAAGTAAGGATTCCAACAACAAATTTTCTCAAACCCTTGCAATATGTAAATCGTATTTAATTGACCTGAAATTCATTTTTTCTTGTTAATAAAACTAGACTCTCACATTAAAGTAACAAAAGATGCAAAATAGGGTTTAAGTAAACCACATGGAAAGCATTGACTTTGTCCAACATATTTGAACTGGCAAACCTTTGATTTGCATGTAGATTCACAGAGTTTATGTCAGCTGCTCCAGCCTCAACATGTGTTTAAACTGCATGAAGCTATTCTTGACATGCGGGTAGGGATGGGAAAGTCTATTGCTTTGATTTATCTCTACTGTAGGACCTGTGAGTAGCTCTATACCTGTTTTGGATTTTAAAGCACATTGCCCATTTATGTTGCAGTTCTGGGATCAAGGTCCGCAAGGCTTGTGAAGCTGTGGAAACTGCCTCCGATATCTCCACCTACTTCTGGTCTTCAATGGGATCCAGATCTTTCTCTCATTTGGACTTGATAATAATAGGGCAATGGATAGATGATTTATGGTGTAGTGTGTTATAGAGTAAGGAGATTAAATCTTTGGAAGATGTAGAGGTAGCAAGTGTCTCCAAGAGAGGTATTCTGGTGCAGTGGAGGTGCAAAAAAATTATATATAATAATGAAGATTTACTGTTTCATCCTGAGAAGGACTGCAGTGTGCTGACACTACTTTATTTTTTGCCTGTTCTTGAAGAGCATAGTTGTTGTCAGCCTGCCATAAGAGAGCCTCTCTATTGCTAATTGAGAGAACAGTCCTTTTATTAGACAGTGGTGCCACAGGCTTTATCTTTCTACACACCAAAGACTTTTTAGCTGTCATCAGAACCTGACAGAAATCCAGGTACCGTGCACCAGGCATCCGATAAACATTTATACTCACTCTTTGTTGTGAAAAGTTGAGTACATGTCACATGCTGTAACAATAAGAAGTTGGCAAGCATTGTTTGCTATTGTTTTTGGAATTACCAAACCTCAAAATATGCCTTAACAGTTCCAGGAAAAGTAATCATAAAAGGATCCTCAGTGAAGTGATGTTACCCCAGCTGTTGTAATTATGGAAATATTTCTTGTGAAAAAATCCTGCTCATGGGGGTTTTTCAGTTGTGGTTGAGTATGTGCATCACCTCAAGACACAAAATAGAAGTAGCATAATAGAAAACAAGACACTTAAATCCTAATCATAGATTTTGTCATATGAAACAAACAGACATCTCAGACAAAACCGACAAGAAAGCTGACCTGCGTACATGAAGGCACTGCTTACAATATCAGGGCTTCCCATTTTATTCCTGCATAGCTGTAGTGCACCAGACCAACTCACTAGGTTTTGTCAGAAAGATGGCAATCTAGAAACACCTTTTCCTTAACTGTAATGTAGAGAAAAGTATTCCCCTATTGTTGTCTCTTATTCACAGAAAAAGTAAAGTGTTCAAGATGTCAGGGTTTGGAGGCAGAGGCTTTTCCTTTCGAAACACAGCATGCATCTTCCACTAACTTAAAACAGGTTATTCAATATCATTTTAAAACTAATAATACAATTGATAGTTAAAATAATGATTCTTTGCTTACTCAGTGGTGTTGATTTGCTAAAACTGTACAGTGCAAAATCTGGTGCAGCTGTACATGGTAGCCAATGCGCTTCTAGCTCTAACTTGTTCAATTAAGCTTTGACAATAAAACCTGGAAGCTGATTGGTGTCTATGCAGAGCTGCACCAGATTTTGCACTCTATAGTTTTAGTAAATCTACCCCAATGTCTAAGAAGATGCTGTGCAGAGCAGCTGTTAGGAAAGGGCTCACCTGCTCTATGGGCTGCAGTACCGGGACTTACCAGCAGGTGCCTTTCAGCAGCCAGGATCTCACCTCCTGCAAACAAGCCATCACCTGAGGCTGATTGCAGGAGATGTATTTAAGCAGCAATCATGCCTGTAACCAGTGCTTTGGTGTTTTGTTTCCCATGAGCCCTTGTTGTCCTGTACCTGTATCCTGACTGCTGTGATCTACCTGCTTGACTCTGACTATGACTGAACTCCGCCTGCACCGGCCCAGCTCTCACTTTTGACTATCCGCTTGCCTACTCCTGTGTACCTGATCCACCCAATTGATCCTGACCCGGCCTGCCTGACTATTCTACCTCTCCAGCCTTGACTACACTTTATTCTGCCTATGTACAGTTGTGTTCAAAATAATCGCAGTCAGACATCACTAACCTGATCAATCACTGTTTTTAGTAGAAATGATATTTCTACATGGCAAATAATTTACTAGCAGGTGTAGTAGAGTAATAGAAATCCAACAGACCCAACTGTCATGACATGCATGCTGCTGATTCTGTGTAATTGAATCACTAATTGAAAGGGGCATGTTCAAAATAATAGTGTGGAGTTCTATTAGTGAGGTCATTCATTCTTTGAAAAACAGGTGGCAATTATTGCCCTTATATTACAGTGCATTTTTCTCTGAAATTCTGAGGAAAATGGGCCGTTCCAGACATTGTTCAGAAGAACAGCGTACCTTGATTAAAAAGTTGATTGGAGAAGGGAAAACATATAAAGAAGTGCAGAAAATGATAGGCTGCTCAGCTAAAATGATCGCAAATGCTTTAAAATGGCAACCAAAACCTGAAAGATGTGGAAGAAAGCGAAAAACTACCATTCGAATGGATAGAAGAATAGCCAATATGGCAAGGACTCAGCCAACAATCAGCTCCGGGAAGATCAAAGGTGGTCTAAAGTTACCTGTGAGTACTGTTACAATTAGAAGACGCCTATGTGAAGCCAAGCTATCTGCAAGAAGCCCCCAAAAAGTCCCACTGTTGAAAAAAAGACGTGCTGAAGAGGTTACAATTTGCCAAAGAGCACATTGACTGGCCTAAAGAGAAATGGTGCAACATTTGATGGTCTGATGAAAATAAGATTGTTCTTTTTGGGTCTAGTGGCTGGAGACAGTTTGTCAGACGACCCCCAAACACTGAATTCAAGCCACAGTACACTGTGAAGACAATGAAGCATGGTTGCGCAAGCATCATGATATGGGGATGTTTCTCATACTACGGTGTTGGGCCTATTTATCGCATACCAGGGATCATGGATCAGTTTGAATACATCAGAATACTTGAAGAGGTCATGCTGCCTTATGCTGAAGAGGAAATGCCCTTGAAATGGGTGTTCCAACAAGACAACAACCCCAAACACACCAGTAAACGTGCAACATCTTGGTTCCAGACCAACAAGATTGACGTTATGGAGTGGCCAGCCCAATCCCCGGATCTTAATCCAATAGAAAACTTGTGGGGTGACATCAAAAATGCAGTTTCTGAAGCAAAACCAAGAAATAGAGTAGAACTGTGGAATGTAGTCCAATCATCCTTGGCTGGAATACCTGTTCACAGAAGTTGGTTGACTCCATGCAGCACAGATGTACAGCAGTTCTCAGAAACAGTGCTTATACAACTAAATATTAATTAAGTGAATCAATGGAAAGCAAAATCTTCAAACATTTTTCAGTTTTATATAGTGAATGTTTAAGTTTGTAAAGAAGAATACAAACACTGCTATT